TGCTATATGAAAGCCCTAAGCTTTGAGCCAAATCTCTTCAGAAAAATTGGAAAATGTTTTGGTTTTAGACCTAGTGTGGAATGGGGATATATATATATAAATTGCTAAAATTTTGTAGGATGGAAAAACTGTTTCCCATCCACTATGCAGATTTTTCTTTACCAATATTTACAGCCAGACTTGAGATTGAAAGATCATCTAGATAGCTGCCCTAGTGTTTTCCCTGCTCTAGATCCATTACTTGTCTCTTTGCCTTTTCAGAAGTCACTGTGCTCAGTATCTTATCCTTTTAAGCTGGCAAAGGAATGTTAGCATGCTGCATGTCTACACTGCTTTTGCAGTCTGTAATGTAATCCCTTTATATGGCTGAACTGTGCAGTACCAGAAACTGGCTCTGAAGTTTACACACTAAAACAAAAAAGTAAAATGTATACTACTTCCTGCCTTCCCGTAAGCATTGCCATAATAGCAGTTTCCTGACATTTTGTATTTCTTTGTTACAGTTTTTGTCAGAAATGCAGAAGGTCAGAATAAGAGGTGGAAGGTTATAAACCTTGAAAAGACATAGAGTGTAGCCCTTACAAATCTAAATCGTCAGAATTTTGACCAGCTTCTTTACAGCAGGCTACTGGCACTGTAAACAAAGAATAATGATGATCCATGGAGGATCAAACTGTAGAATGATGGAAAGGTCAATGTAGCACAGTTTGCAACCATCTTTCACTGACTATATGAGACACTAAAATACTGATAGTGTACTCTGCTGACAAATTACAAGAAAGAAATGACACAACATGAATCATCCCTCATAAGCATCACTTGTAATGAGAAGAAAGAGGAGGAAAATAACTCCCTCTTAACCAATGAGCTTGCAAAGTGAGGGCTCTTACTTACTGAGACCACCAAAAATGAAGTATTAATGTGGATGTTTATAAACCACAGATGCATCTGAGCACCAACATATTTAAAAGATTCTCGGTGAACTGTGATACAGTAGTTACAAAGCAGAGATATGGCTGAACCAAAACTCCTCCCTTTTTCAGTGACTGTAGAGATCAATCACACACACACCCAAAATCAGATTCGTGCTCTGTTCATCATGAACACATCAAGGTGCATGAGGCTGATCTGGGGGTTTTGAGGAGAACTCCGACTAGGAATTTTTTAGGCATTTCCATGTTTAGCTGACGCCCCGGATACTCAGGGGTTACAGCAAACTTTTACTGCAAAAGTGGAATCCAGCTGCTCATGCTGAGGTCTGTGCATCCCATGAACTCCATTAAAATGTTGGCAATTTTTTCATTTGAAATTAATTAGTGTTACTGAAGTGTTACAGGAATTCTTATGTATAGGGAATGCTTACACTAGCATAGTGAAATTAATTGCTTTCAAAGGGTAAATGTCAACAATTTAATGATGCCTGCTGTGCCAACATTGATATAAGATTTGCAATGGATAATTTTCCAAATAATCTAGGGATCTAGTGGCCACTAGGCCCCCACCCACTGAAGGAGTCTGTGCATTCTAGTGAATTTTAACGCTTGTACAGCACTGTATTGGACACCAGATTCTGCTACCTTTGCCCTGTGAACATCAACCCCTGAATGGGTGTGAGAGGGTGCTCTTCCTAGCAGTCAGTCAGAATCTGCTACCTCACTTCCTACCAGTTTTTTCAGTTTGGGCACGCTCACTCTAGTCCAATTTCCTGGGCAGCCTGCTTTTCATAGGGTTTCTTCTTGGGTGGAGTCTTGCAGCAGTCCTAGGCTCCTTCAGGTGGACATCCATCAGTTGGTGAGAGTGAGCCCCACAGTGTCTCTGCAGTTCACTCACCCTGAGGTGCCAGGGGCTCGGTCGCAGTCTCTCTTGGTTGGGGAGATGGTGCTTACTCCCACATTGGCTAATTGAGCCAATAATGCAAGGCTAGTTGAGCCCAAAAGCTCTCTCTAACTCCGGCAGTGCTGCTTGATCACAGTCTTTCTGTAAACTGTCATGCATGTCGCTTCTGTCATAGAAAGAAATATTTAAAGTCTGGGGATTGGCCAGCAGTGTTTTTTGGATGACAGTGAACATGTTAGCGCTGATGAGTACTGTTTTTCTCATGCAAGTATTTGATTTCATCTGTGGCTACATGTTTGGATAGACCCAGCCCACATACGGCTGTATTTGTATCTAGTTCATTTTTTTCTATTACGAATCATACAGGAAGGCACTGGAACAGTTTTTGGAGTGGGGGGTGTTGAACCAACCCCTGTCTGTGCCACTCACCATCCCCCAGAGCTAGGGCCAGCTGCCAAGACCCCACATGCAGGGCCAAGAGGTAGAGCCCCCAGGCACAGAATCAGCAGCTGGCTGGGACTACCTGCTGAGTGGGATGTGAAGGCCTGACAGTGGGGCTGAGTAAGGCCAAGCAGGGGGCTAGTAACAGAGCCCTCAGGCTGCAGGAGTACAAAGCTAGTGGCTGGGATCCTGGGTAGCAGGAGAGTGGAGCTGGGATGCCCTACACCTGGGGATACTACAGCACCCCTACTTTCCACACTTATGATCATACTTACCTCATATGCCCCAATTAACACGAGACTATCTGCCAAATGTCATACGTTTGCCTGAATAAACCCTTCATTTTTTGGAACCTATTACTACTTTAGGGTTTTTTTTCATAATTCATCATGACTTCAGGGGAATTACTCGCCTCTGGATTTACAGAGGTTTTTACACATAATGATGTAGCAGTACCAACTCTCAGAGTAATGATAGCAACCTCAGCAGCTAAACAAGATATGGCTAGATCAGAGCTGGTATGGTAGATGGGAACACACAGTGACTTTAGAAAAGTATTGCTGGTGACAACTGGATGTAGTAATTTTTTCCTGCCAGTTCTGAATCATGGAACTGTTATTGTTGGCATACAAGGGCATTATTCTGCTGAAGATATTGTCTGCCTACAGAAATGTTTTCCACAGCTAGTATTTGCCTTCACTACTTCTTCTACACTTACATTAAATAGGTTGAAACTGTAGGATGGGTTTAAAATCTTTCGTCTCGAGACATGTCAATCATTGGGGTTAGGAAAAACTTAAGTCTTAGGTAATTCATTGCTGGGGCTTTAAATCGTCTTGGTGAGCAAAACATTTACTCATAAAGAAAATGAGCCATTAGAATACCCTGTGGGATATGATGTGTTTTCCATCACTTGAAGCTTATTTTTTTATACTGGGATTTGGATTAGTTTCTAAAATGTGTGTTAGCTCAAGCACAACGTATGGGCCTGTTGAAGGATTTACTGGGAGAGTAGTATGGCCTGTGCTATTGCAGGAGGTCAGACCAGATTCTCCCAATAGATCTCACCTTAAAATCCATGAATGGAAGCAGGGTCCTGGCCCGTAGTGATCATTGGAATGATCACTACAAGGCAACTTCTATTTTTCTAACCTTTTATAACACGCACTATTCAGCTACCCCAGAGATGGATCATTTAACCTGCCTATGATATGCAATCATATGTGTATTCCTCCTCTACCTTAGAGGTATGCTGGGGCTTAATTAATATTTGATATAACACTTTGATATCTTCTAATGAAAGGTGCAGTGTAAAGCATTATTACAGTTTTCTAGTGATAAACATGAATACCTTCTCTCAAAGTAACTCCAATTGCATAACTATCGCTTTCCCCCCGCAGAACGACAAAGATGAAGTCTGTGACTAAAGCACTAATGAACAGATTTGTATTCATTATTTTAAAATGTTCTTTAAAGAAGCAGTTGTTTTGCACAGCTTCAAGGAGTCTCAACTGGATTATTGAAAAATGTTTGGAATTTGAAATATCTGTTCATTCCCCTAGAGTTGTTGGAATACATCAACAAAACAATCCACCAAATTCTTAGTTGTAACTTAATGCAAGCAATGAGATCCTTTAGGAATTGGTACCTAATGGCTAGAGCTGAGAGCTAAACATTAGGTTTCTATGTCTTGCTTGGCTGTTATCTTCCTCACAACCCCACCGTTTATTTAAGGCAAAGTGAAAATGGGAGCCTGCACAGGGCTCTCAGCAGATGCCTGATATAGGCTCTTTTCCAAGCCTCACTGCCTAGGGCTGAGGCTGGCAGCCTGAGGCAGGATTGCTGTGCACCCTCTTGACATTCCTCCACATGTCCATATTAGGGCGTGCCTCACTTTTTGGCAAAACTGGACTTCCATCCCGTTGGCTTTTGCCAACTGATGATCAGTTGCCAGCCAACCATAATTAAGTTCTACAGGACCTTTTGCAAGATTTTTAAAAATGGATCTCTAAAGTTAAACTCATAAGTCTTCCTGTAGTATTCTAAATAAATGATGCAACATTGTTCTACATTACTAAGCACTCAGTAGCTTCCACTCAAGTCATTGGAAGCTGCTTGGGTGCTCATTGCTCAGTCATGTATAGGCTACATCTACACTGCTGGGTTTTTTGGCAGAAGATATGCAAATTGTGCTCTCATTTGCATATCTTCTGCCAATCCTTTTTGCAGAAGAGGTTTTGCAGCTAAAAAGCCCTGTGTAGATGGGGCCATTTATCAGGAAAAAACACTTTTTCACAAGATCTTGTAAACCTCATTTTTTGAGGAATAAGGAATCTTGCACAAAAGTGTTTTTTTCTGGCAAATGGCCCCGTCTACCCAGGGCCTTTTAGCGGCAAAACCTCTTCTGCAAAAAGGATCAGGAGAAGATATGCAAATCAGAGCATGATTTGCATATATTCTGCTGAAAAAAATGGCAGTGTAGACATAGTCAAGTCATTAAAATCAGGTTATTTAGGAGCCTAATTTTAGGAACCTATGTTGTAAAATCTCAGCTTTGACTTCCCAGTGAGACAAAAATAACACCTAGGATTTCGTAAAATTTAGTGATGTATTAATTAAAGAGCTTCTAGATCCTCAAATAAATACAAATCAGTATTAGCATTAGCAGCCTAGAATTTTACAATGAGTAAATGACTTATTTTAATAAAATCTTCTCCAAACAGGGATACTAAAGAAGGATGGTATCTGTATGCAGACAGTTCCAATGGAGAATTTGGTCATACAACTGACATTGCCACTCCAGTCATTTCTCTCACTGGACCCAAATGCAAACTGGTATTTTGGACCCATATGAATGGTGCAACAGTGGGTTCTCTGCAGGTACTGAAGACATTCACTTCTGAAATTATTGTATGAAAAGTCACATTTCAGCAAGTCTAGACTGCTAATAAATGCTAATTAACAGTGATTAGCCTTTCACTGCCCATAGTAAGTTATGATTGAGGGATGTATTAGATAAAGTAAAATCCTCAAATGGGAAATGTTTACAGTATGGATGCAGGTTCTGTACAGGTGAGGAATTGTATTGCATAATCCCTTTTTCTACTAAAATATATTGACTGAATATCTGAACATCAAAATCTTGTGACCAAAGGGTTAAAATATAAAGCTATATTTTGTTAGTTGTGCTTTTCTTTTAAATTGACTTGTCGGTGTGATTTCCCCTTCAGGTTTTATTCGTCTTGCTGCTTAATTTGATTGAAAGAAGCCAAGTTGAGATTTTTACCAGCATTCAACTATAAAAATACTTTACTCTGACTCCAGTCAGCACACCACTATAAAAAGGAAAGCACTTAGGTTTAGTTTACATAAATACTTAACTCACTTAACAACATATTGACCCAATTCATCTGGGCTGTAAGACTAAAACAGGGAAACAATTCTAGACAGGTTTTATGTCAGCAAGTATAAGTAGTTTTTATGGGGTTATAAATGTATACTATAGACCAACAGCAGCATTTCAAACATCCATAGTAAAAATATTTAGGATAAATACACAAAGGCCCAATTCTCATCAAACTAGCAAAACTCCATTGATTTCCCAGGGAATCTGGCAGTTTATATCAGATGAGGATCTGCCCCAGAGCGTGCAGGTTCAGCTGCACAAGGAAATCCACAATAGCTGAAATGCCTCCATTTTCATCGAACTGAACTAAATTATTACAGTAGTAAGAGCACTGCCAGAATTCTGCTGTCTTGAAGGTGAATTGACATCTACCCTGGTCCTGGACCTGAATCCATGTTGAGCCACAGAAACAGGAAGGCAGAATCTCCTTTATACAAAGGAGTTGTAACTTATCAGCTGTTCAGAGTAAGAGTATTCTGGATTTTATTTCTCCTGTTTTAAAGTCTTTTTTAAAATCCTAAAAGCAAGGGGAACTCAACACATAGTAATGAAGGAGCATGCATCAAAACTAAAGTTACAATATAAAAAGTTTATTTTACCTCTGTTTAAAGGCTTTGGTGCAGTTTGACTTGTGCACTTTGGCTGCTTTGTGCTGCTTCACTGTTGTAAAGGTGAAGAGAAGGCAAGGCCACCTGAATAGTTTGCAGCCCTGTGCACAACCTGAGGGGGTAATACCTCAGTCACAGTCCCTTTTGCAGTACCCTCTGGGGCAGAATGGTTCAATACTGCTCCCTACTCTGGCCTCTGGCCTGTGATTCACGTAAGTTGAGTAGTAGATGCCAAATGCAAGGTCATGCCTTCAGGAACAAAGGTCATAGGCCATACTGCCTCAGTGGGGGCATGAGTACCCAGTCTGATGCTAAGGCAAAAAGGCTAAGATCCCACATAGGTGTATATAGAACAGGAATATTGAGTAGAAGCAAAGAGAGATGCTTGGATTTAAATAGGTTATAAAATATGATGGCAGTTAGTCTTTACAAAGGTATGGCAACTGGCAAGAAATGGCAAATAGTTTGAATTTCTAGTGAAGAGCTTAGACTGCCCATGAAGGAAAAATATTTTACCTTGGAAAGTTTACATATGTGAATGTAAGAAAAAAATTCTGAAACACCCAAGTCAAATTGTGCTTCTTTAGAAGATCTTAGTTATTCTAATGTTAGATAACAATGAAAATATGTAGATGTATTATGGGGTACATTGCTGTTTTCTCCCATCATTTTTGCCTGTCTCTGTTGTTCATGGAAGGAAAGGACATTGGTAAACTTCCCTTTCTTGTCACTCTTAATGCTTGGAAAATGATATCCCTGTCCTCTGTTTAAAAAGAAAAACACTTCTGAAATCTCATGTGTTCTGTGAAGCATCTCACCATGAACCACTTTGTCTGTCGTGTCTGTTTAATGTATTGCACTCTTCCCTCTTGTGTCTCTAGACTGAAAGCTCGTCAAGGCAAGGACCATGTTATTCATTTGGCACAGCTTACCTGCTGCACATATATTTCTGGCACTACAGACTTTTTTAAAAAATGCCACTTTTTCATTAAAGTGAAAAACGTCCAGGTCATCCTAGATCTCAAAAAGCAGATTACACTGCGTGGTGAAGATGATAAATCCTTGAGAGGAGAGGCAGCTGTAGTAACAAGGGCTATGATATAGTTCTGTCAGTTATTGACTTGAGACACAGCTTGCCACGCTCCATCTACCTGATATTGTCAGCTCAGTTCAATTCAGATGCTGAAGAAGGCAGAGAGAAGTATATTTAGGAGTGCTAGCTCCTGTGGAGAAATGACTCCCCAGTGCAGTGACTATTCACCAAGACAAGACGTTAGGAGGATATTTTGTGCACCCACCATTGTTCAAACAGATCAGGTTCTGTGGCCTGAGAGGACATGTTTATTTATGGGAAAGTGAGATGTTTCCTGTGCAGTTGAGACACCAAACACTCCTAGAATGACCATGGAATAATTCAATAGACATATGAACTCTTAGAGCTTTTATTATTCTTACTATTAAGATTATTTTGCTTACTGCATTCACATGTCCTGAACCTGAGCATATCTTGTCAGGTGATGAGTGTCCTCCCCTCCTATTCAAGTCAATGGGAACACAAAGTACTGAACTCCACATGCACACAGGACCCACTCAGGACCTGCAGGATGAGGCTCACAGACTTGTAGCTTACACTCATGACTTTTCCACTAATGATTTTCAAGTGTGGAGTAAGGCTTAATTTAAGGGGAAACGCTGACTGAAATGACTGTATTTATATTAATGAGTTGAGAAGATTTACCATGACCTGGGAATTCACAATTTCTCTTTCAGGTACTCAGTAAAGTTGGTGATGTAATTTCTGTCCTTTGGGTTCAAAGCGGTTCCCAAGGCGCACAATGGAACAGAGCAGAAGTGGTCTTAGGCATTCGCTCTGATTTGCAGGTTTGTGCTTTTCTTTCATATGTCCACTGTTAAATTGATTCTAGATTACATTTTCGCTTGCTCATTCCCATTTGTAACCTGTGCACTTTGTAGCTCTTGAATTCACATTGCTCTTCTGAATATTAAGAACCTCTCCGTGGCTTACCAGATCAAGTATCCCTGTCTGTGTATAGTGAAGTCTATTAGGGTGAGAAGAGAGGTGTGTTGCAACTCAGCCCCTAGAGCATGCATTGATGCTATTCCTAATGGGATGATAACTCCCAAAATACCCTTCTTAAGATGGGAGGATTCGTGTAGCAGCAGAACCACCTCTAGCCACGAATCCCACTTTTGTGACAGTTTCCTCAAATTCTTTGTCCAGTGGTGGATTGCCAGGGTTGGTGAAAGGTCCTAGTTCCAAGTCATGTGTCTCTGCATAAACACCCACCCTTCTTCCTAGGAGTCACAGTCAAGAACCCACTTTCTCTATGGGAAAAATGTATCATCTGTTTAGTAAAAACTATTAGGCTATGTCTATACCGCAGGCTTTTTGCGCAAGAACTGTTTTGCACAAGAGCGCATCCACACTGCCATGTGCTTTTGCGCAAGAGTGTCCATGGCAGCGTGGATGCTCTCTTGCTCAAGAAAGCTCTGATGGCCATTTTAGCCATAGGGGTTTCTTCTGTAAGTTTTTTCTTGCGCAAAAACTTGCGGAGCATCTACACTGCACGCACGTTTTTGAGCAAGTAAATTTACAGTAAAGAGTTGGGACAGAGCACTTTTTGCACAAGAGTTATTCCTCTCCCCACGAGGAATAAGCGCTCTTGTGCAAGAGCTCTTGTGCAAGAAGGCAGCGTGGATAGGCAACAGGGGTTTCTTCTGTAAGAAACCCCTTTTGCCTATCCACGCTGCCTTCTTGCACAAGAGCTCTTGCACAAGAGCGCTTATTCCTCGTGGGGAGAGGAATAACTCTTGTGCAAAAAGTGCTCTGTCCCAACTCTTTACTGTAAATTTACTTGCTCAAAAACGTGCGTGCAGTGTAGATGCTCCGCAAGTTTTTGCGCAAGAAAAAACTGGTGGGTCTACATAGCACGGTTATTTCAAAATAAAGGTTGTTATTTCAAAATAACAATGTGACCATCTACACAGAAATTCCATTATTTTGAAATTATTGTGAAATAATGGATGGCTTATTTTGAAATCTGTAAACCTCATTCCACGAGGAATAATGCTTATTCCAAAATAGCTATTTTGAAATAGTGGTAGTGCGGATGCTCCACTGCTGCTATTTCAAAATAGCCCCTCCCCAGGACCATTCAAAGTAATTACTCCCCAGTGCCTCCCGGGGCTCTAAATCGAGGTAGCACGTCCACATTAGAGAAGCCAGCTTCGGACTAATTTTGAGGCTTCCCTGCAGTGTAGACGTGCTATTCCGAAAGAAGCTATTTTGGACTATTTCCTCTGGAATAGCTTATTTTGAAATAGGCGTGCAGTGTAGACGTACCCTAAATGAACAGGGCAGGTGCCACCAGGAGGATCAACTGTCATGCCTGGCCTCTGGGCAAGGTATGGGGGAGGAAGCTCTGTATTCCTAGAAGAGGTTGGATGGGGTGAGTTGGAGGAGCAGACAGCCCTAAGTACCCTCTGGAGCATGTCATGCTGCCTCCCAGCTTGTAGAGCCTCCCAGAGGGCACCATATGGCCCTCTGGTGGTGATTTAAAGGGCCCGGGGTCTGGGTGCTGCTGCAGTAGCAGTGGTGGCATCCAGGAGCCTCAGGCCCTTTTGAATTGCTAGACCTGAGACCGTTTTCCTCTTTGCCTCCCCCTCTTCATTGGCGGGCCTGGGTGCCACTCCCTGGGTGAGGGTGATGCAATAAAAAACATTTGTCAACAGATCTTTGAGTCTTTGGCCACTGAAATGTTCATTGATCAAAATCCCCCCCGCCCTCTAGGTAGCTGGCTTGTCTTTGGGACTCTGCTGAATCTGTCCCAGTTACTAGCTTCCATGCTCACCCTGCCCAGGCATGAGGATGCTCCCAGCAGCTGAACAGAAAGCATCAGAAGTGCTGTGGAATCCTTCTCCAGCTAGACAGTCTTGGCAGATGAGTTCATTTTATTGTCATTGACTGTCTCTGTTGGTGTCTTTCAGCTGGTAGGGAGCTGGAAAGAGCTCTCTGGTTGTCCTGGTTACACAGAGCAGGGCTGAGGCATTTGGCAACCTGGCATTTGGCTTCCTGTTTTTTCGGGCCTTTACTTCCTGGGAGCGTGACCCACGTTCCCTTGACCACCCTACTTTTGGGTAGCATGGAACAAGTTCCACAGGAGCTTTTTCTCAGGACAGTGTCTGCTTTGGGAGAGGCAGGTTAACTCATCATATCTGGGGCCTAACCCATGTAACAGGACAGTTAGAAACATCCCTTGCCAGCCCCCTATCAGCTGAGATATACCAGTGGAACTAGCTGGTCAATGATAACAAAATAAACTTCCCTGCGAAGATTATCCAGCTAGAGAGGGAGTGCCCAGCACTGTTGCAGCTTTCATGTTAAGTAGCTGGGTTTGTCTTCTCGCGCAGACATGTATGCATGGAGTTGGCAGCAGATTGGATTTGGATTTGCAGCTCAGAGGGCTGGAGAGGAGGATGAGGAGCTAGGAGGTGGGGAGAGACACAAGAGGCAAAAGGGATTAGGGTTGGGAGGTAAATGGACAGAAGAGTCTGTGCCCATTTGTCAGCTGGGAATTATTAGGATTAAGAAGGTGTCCCTGCTCTGCACAACACCAACCCTCTCTCCTACAAGGACAGTATTAATCCTTGGAATGAGCACCAGGCTTAACAACAGAACAATAGTTTTATCTAACCAAGGTAAAGCCCAGGAGTAGACTCAAATTGGGATCTCTAGCAGAGTTATACAGATTCCCTCACTCCTGATACACACAGGGTCAGAACATTGCCCATCTATCCCAGAATCCTGTTTTCTGAGAGTAGACAATGCTGGGGGATCCAGAGGGAGTCAACAGAAGAGGTAATCATCAAGTGATCCATCCATCCCTGACATCCATTCCCAGCTTCTGGCAAACAGAGGCTATGGACATAGCCATTGACAGGTTTATCTTCCAAGAACTTATCTAGTTTATTTTTAATCATGTTGTAGTCCTGGCCTTCACAACATCCTCTGGCAGGGAGTTCTACAGGTTGACTGTGCATTGTGTGAAGAAATACTTCCTTTTGTTTGTTTTAAACCTGCTGCCTATTAATTTATAGTGCACAACCCCCCTACACCTGACAAGACACACATAGACTCTATGTTCTATGCCAGTTCAACTCTGTGTATCTCCCTCAACTCCTCCCCCTGATCCATAGAGTCAGTCCAACCTGAGTATTCTGATGCTGTGTGCACTGTGAGCTCAAACTAGGGGCAGTGTCCTGCTATGTAGTCTCAATTGTTATGTAAGTCTCTCGTATCTGCAAGCACTAGTGCAGCAGCAGCCTCAAGTAGCTTTCTTCTAAACATGTCCGAGTCAGAGTCTAACACGGCTACATTTCTATCACTATTCTGCACCTTGGCATTCTGGTGTATATGCTTCAGCTCAGTGCTGTTGCTTCTGTCACTGCAAGCACTGCTTTTTGTTCTCTCTCCAAATCTTTCTAGGATTGGCCCCCACCTGGTCTTAGCTCAACCTCTCATAGGTGGTCCATGCTTCATTCTGTAGCCTTAGAGTTGCACTCCCCCACTCTAGCCAATAAGGTTTGTGCAGAATAGGGAGAGCCAAAGGAAGGGGAAGTGAGTCACTCTACCTTGTCCCATCCCCATCTTTTCCTTGTGTGGCAGAACTGTGCTGATTCTGCTGCAGAAGGATCTTTTGTACTCATGAAAGGCAGCAGCATCTACCAAGTGATATTAGCTCATATTTCTGCTGCATTTTTGGAAATATAAAGCACCACAGCTACCAACTTTGTGTGTACTCCAGAGCTGGGGAACCCACAGAGAAAAAAATATTAGGTGCTCAGGACCTATTTCTAGCCCCACTCCCTGTTAGCTCCTCTCCTCCCCCCCCAGTATCTCTGCCAGCCATCGCCCTGCTGATCACTTCTCCCCCTTGCTCCCCACACCTTTCACTCACCACAGATCAGCTGCTCAGCTGATATGCGGGAGGCACTGAAGGAGGAGCATGGAGGAGTGAGTGGGGCTCACTTCGGGTAGGAGGCAGAATGAGGTGGGATAGGAGGAGGTAGGGTGGGTGAAGGCTTGGGGGAATGGGGAGGACTGGGGCTAAGGTCTGGGTGCACAGCCAAGGTTGAGCATTCCCCAGCAACTTAGAAAGTTAATGGCCCTCTAAAGCACCCTACCATATAAATAGTAAATATAAGCAAAATGGCATTTAGGTTGTGCCTGATTCATATGTATTCGCTTCTTTAAATATCTGCCTAAAATATCCGATTTTACAAACCTTAGAATACTCAACATAGTAGTTATTATGGAATGTACCTGCTGAGAGTAAAACAACGCTGATAGTTGTGAAAGCTGGCCACCTACTCACCGGCCTGGGAAGGATCAAGGACACTTCCGAGCCTGTTTCAGGTCCCTTCCTTAGTTTAACAGATAAACATAAAACAATTGCTCTGATCAGCAAGGGCTACAGTTCCTAGAGGATTTTCCCTCACCCCTCTCAGACCTTCCAGATCCCTGACTTCACCCAGAGACTCTTGCAGAAGCCAAACTGCTCTTGGCCATCTAACTGGGAATCTCCTAAGAGCTCGGATCTTTCTCCTGCACCAGTGCCTACTTCAGGGGCCTATTTTCTCCCTGCAGTTCTCTTGCCAGCTGAGCTCTTTCTGACCTTTGTAATAATCAGGTGATCTTTAGGCTATTGATCTGTCACTAGTCCCACACCTCATCTTGGAGGCAGCTGGTAAATCGCTGGTGGGGATCAGCCATCTCTCCTTAAAGGGAAATGTACCCTTTATCAAGTGCATATCTATATATCATATTCTACATATTTGTTATATTGCTTAATAAAGAATAATGGAGACAGGGTTTCACCGAGTAGATTCTAACACTAAATTCCTTGAGTAGTGAGATTTGATAAGCTCAGAAGGATTCAGTCTTCCATCTTGGATGTTCTCTATCCTTTTAGCTTTCCTACATTATCATAGACTCACAGAATCCTGGGGCTGGAAAAGAACTCAGAGGACATTGAGTCTAGCCCCCTGCCCAAGGCAAGACCAAACTAAATTATCCCAGCCAGAGCTTTATCAAGCTGGGTTTTAAGAACCTCTAGGGATGGAGATTCCACCACCTCTCTAGGTAACCCATTCCAGTACTTCACCACCATCCTAGTGAAATAGTTTTTCCTAATATCCAACCTAGACCTCACTCACTGTAACTTGAGACCATTGCTTCTTGCTGACAGTATAAAGAATGATTGTTTTTCCTGCTCCATTGAAGTTGCTGGAAAGTTTGCCATTAATTTCATGGGGAACAGGATCAGCCTCTTGCTTTCTAACTGTTCACTTATTGTATTTTTTTATGTCCTTGGTTATTGTAGGATTGTGGTTCCCCTCATGGCTCCCTTGAGGCATAAACCAGCATTGATTCATGTTTATGAAGCTTATATTTGCATCAGTAAGATCTGAGAACAATATATAGTACTAAATATTTAAGGGACTCGGGCAGCTTGCTGGAAGCATAGATACATAGTGTTTTGTGTACCAAACATGGAATGTTTCAAGCTTTTATACTTTTCCCTCAACATTTCACAGACATTTCTCTTTATTTTAGATTATTTTCAGGGCAAAACGTGGTGTGAGTTATGTGGGAGATGTGGCAGTGGATGATATTTCCTTTGAAGATTGTTCCCCTTTGCTGATCCCAGACAGAGCCTGCACTTCTGAAGAATTCACATGTGCCAATAAATATTGCATCCCAAAAGATAATCTGTGTGATTTTGTGAATGACTGTGCAGATAATTCGGATGAGAACCCTAGCATTTGTAGTAAGTATGGCAGTTCCTTACTCTAATTATAAGAAGTATCTGTGCCTGCTGTGAATTGTCAATGCAGCAAAACTGTTGGCAGTTCATCAACAAAGAAATTAAAAATGAAATTAACAATGTAGGTATTGTATATTCCTGGGATTGGTGGGCTTATTTCCCCTCCATTTAATCTGAGATCATGTCTTGCAAAATAAAATTTGCTGCTCCTGGATTTTTCCCAACATAAATTAATTCAGAGAACAGTTCTGCCTTTTAAAACAAAGAGAACCAAATCATTGTTTTCTCCATAGAAATAAAAGCAGAAATTGTCAAGCAAAATACATGTAAGATCTTAAGAACCTTGGTTACTTTGTTCCTGGAATTGTCAAGTCTCTTGGCTGTTTCATGAATACCAGACAACTTTAGTTTTGCAGGAGAAATCAACAAACAGTATCATCAGTCTAGAATTAAAAAACAGCACTTCTCATCAACAGTGTATTTCTCTAGAGGATTACATCACAACATATTCTATTTCAGTTTTTCTTGCTACCTCTTTCTTCAAAAAAATCTTGGTAAATTGTCATTGAGGCAAATCTGCATTGTTTGGTACACTACAAGCAGCTGTTTCAGTATGAATGTTATGAACACTGCTAATAAAAAATTAGATTATGACAAAAAGGGGGATCATTCAATAAGCAGCAGATCAGATTCTCATTTAGAATCAATGTCATGACATTTAAATCATTTGAGTTATGCCAATTTACATCAGTTGAGAATTTGACCTACTATATCTGATTTTAGCAGTAATAAACTTTTTCCTTGGTTTCCATAAATGGTGGCATACTGGAGCCAGGTCTACACTGGTGGAGAAAATCAATGTAAGATATGGAATTGCATCTATGAAAATTGTGTAGGTGGAGTCGACATACCTTACGTTTTCTGGGGTGGCCCCACACAGCAAGAGGTCAATCGTAGAAACTCTCCCATCGACTTCACTTATCCTTACAACTGTGAAGAGTGCTTCAGTTCATGGAGGTACCCTAAGCATTTGATTTAGCAGGTCTTTATTAGACCTGCTAAATCAAACCTTGGAAGATTGATTATTGGCATGTCAATCCTCTGGTAAGTATAGACAAGCTTGGGGTCTGATTTTGATTTCACATATCTGTAAACCCGGGGTAGAGCAGACTGAAAATTGGAATTTTCATCTTGTGGAAAATTATAATAGTTTCACATTTGCTTTCATCCTGAATTCAGATAAAAAGTCAAAATAGCAATAGTTTTTGTAGAATTAAAGGTCTAAAAAAAATTGGTTCGGAACAAACTGTATTTTGGTTTGCAAATATTGCTTCATTTCAATATTTTAAATTGAAATTAAATGTTTCAATATTTCCCAGTTGCAATGTTTAGTTTAATTAGTTGAACCATTTTGTTACATCTTAATTACACGTTGAACAGCTGCAATGATTCACAATGGTAGTTCAGTGCCTCATGTTGGGCTTTCTAATCAGACTACATCTCCCATGATGCACTATGGCAATTCAGTCAGACTGGAGACATGAGTGCATGATGAGGAAAGTGGTCCAGCAAGGGAGTCCATTCCATACAGGAGAGTGGGGACAGGAGGCACCTGAGCTACAACTCCCATGAGGCACTATGGCACCTTAGGCAGACCTAGGTAAAAATGAACAGATTAGTATTTTGATTTTCCTGTGGAAAATGTCATGTTTGCAGAAAGCGTATTGTCTGTCAAAACGAACAAATCCTAGACATCTGGGTGGAACATTCCTGATTTACTCTAAAAAATAGGAAGTCCAATAAAGTCACTGGATTGGCCCAAATTGAGAGACAAGGGCCAGAATCAGCCTTAAAGTTTCTATTGCAGTGTGGTCCAATTTCATGCAACTGTTAAATATGTGGAGCCAACTTATGATCCCATTCCCTTGGTTTAGTAACAATTTATTCCATGACACATTCAATAAGAATCTGAGTGTGACTCACAGTATCACTATAAAACACAGATGGGGCAAAATGGTCAACTTTACTTCGCCTTACATTTCCTTGTCATTTTACTTTGCAACATTTATGTTGCCTTAAAAATGTGTCTGTCATTTAGTTTGTCTTAGTGTTTTTTTTTCATTTAATAAGTACTGGGGATACTAGTGTTTCCTTCCTTTTTCTGATACTTTTCCAATATAAAAATTAGAGAACAGATACTTATAATTTGCCAACAAGAGAACAATAGACACAAATGTCTCCTGTGTGTTCCCCATCTCCCCTTTCAAAAGGAGAACATTATTTCTGTGACATATCCTTATGTGACTTCCTCTGGTAACAGTGTCTCCAAGCTTCCTTTTCACACCCTCTTCTCTTCACAACATTGAGAGTTACCAGATGAATTTCTTAGAGACTGGAGCCAGAGTCTGGAAACTTCAGTTGCTCCTGAAATCATTTCTTAAAACTACTTTTAAAAATACCTACAGTGCAGCCACCTCACTCATTTAAAATCTTGGTCACTAAAGTGAACAGCAGATGTGTGGTTCCATGGTATACTTTTTCTTCTTAAGGAACTGAAGGACCGTGTAGTTAAATCTAATTGGCAGCCTGCAATAGTTCATCAGCTTGTTTCTGCTCGCAGTAAATTACTGTGATAATATAATTTTTAATAGTAATTTCGTATATTTTAAAATTTGATTACCAGATCAAAGACATAGCGTTACCAGCTTCAGGTTAATCAGTACTTTATAAAAGGTGTGACAATGTCTAAAAACATTTATTGAAGAAGGCATTCACCTTTGTGAAAAAAGTAAAAATCAGCTAAAGTGACATATAAAAGTTATGGCTTGTGTCCTTTATCTTACCAGGGATGAGAATGATGATTTGATAAATAAGGATACTTTTTCAAGGCAAAACTTTCACTAGAAAAGATGAAAATACATTTCACTTCACATTTAAAATAAAGTATGCATTTGGCTGATTCCATTTTCATGTTTGACACACAAATATAAATCAGCCTCTAATATTGCTGATTGTTCAATTTTACAGTCTAATAGCTTTTTGTTTGGGGAAAACATGGTAGTGAATTTGATATTAGTGAGAGTATGGCCTTTTTACATTTGTTTTGCGCCTATACATAAGGGATATAAAGTTGGCAGATGCTACACAGTCTTCCCTACAAACTTCTCTCTATGAATGCTGACATGATTTTCTGTGTAGTCTGAGTTTCAACTCAGAATGGAGACTGCCAAGCATGGTAGGTTAGTTTGGTTTTGTACTGAAGAAAAGTATCCACTAGGTTATATACTGAGTTCCCAAAACTGATTTTTGACTCATTCTTTCAGATCACCAGAAGTATCAGATTAGTACAATGCTTATGTACTCTGCAATTTAGCTTCAAGTTTTCTCATCTCTCAGTTTATAGTGAAACTCTTGTTCTGTGTAAACCAGATTTGGGTGGTCATTCTCTCTATAATTTTTGGCGCTGATGGGTTTAGATTGGCTGCTGATGTGGTTTGGCAGAAGACAATTCCCATAAATATGAAATATAATCTTAAGTAAAAAGAGAAGCAATCCACATTTTTCACTTTGATATTGCTTTTACTGTAAATATTTATAGTTGCAAAAGAGGTTGGCTCCCATTACCATCACAGTACTTAGTTTTATGGCTTGTGTATTCTATTCAACCAATCTGCTGGTCAATAACAAGGGTTTTATCATAATTCAGGTCTGACCTAAGGCTGACTTTTCAACTGTGAGCTTTTATTTTCAGTTTTGTGTCAGGGTAAGGTCTATCAAAAGTGCTATTTCAATTTTTTTTATTCTGTAGGCTGCCCTCTAGCCATTAAAGAACCCCTGCCCACTTATTGCTTGTCACAATTTTTCACTCTGTATAGTCACCAGAGAAGGATCCTTTCATAAACCAGTGAGCCACAAATGACCATTTGAAAAGGACTGTCTCAAAAGTCTTAGGACTGTCCTGACTTTTGTAGAGTCCTTAGCAGAGGAAACTCTGCAGGATTCAAGTCTAGAAGATCAGAAATTGGCAGTCCTGCACAATGTTCCTTCTAATTCTTTTTCATCCACACATGGAATAAATTTTGTCATGTGCACCCAGGCATGTGTGGATGTGCACCAGTAGAAACTAGGGATGTTAAATATTGGTTAATTAAATAGTTAATTAACCTAATGAATTCTTATTGGTTAGTCAACTATTCTATAGTCCCTGGGCAGCCCCTGTTCAGGGGGAGGGATCTGAGCTTCTGCCCACCTGGCTCCTAATACACTTTAAAGAAGAGCTGCAGTGGGAGTAGATCCAGGACCCAGTGCAAGCTGGGACTGAGCTGGAATGGCTAGGGTTGGGGGGCACAAAATGTGTGTAGTCTATAGCATTAACCTATAAGCTTTTGCGTATTGGTTAATTGGTTAATTAACTATTACATCCCTACTAGAAACACATGCTGCTGCTGATGGCAATTGTGGATGCTCTGCTAATCATCTGTGCAGCATTTGAATCATTCCTGGGTAGCTTCCCAAGTGCTCAGCTTACATGAAACACTGGTCCTGACCAAGAATGAGAGTGAGGGCAAAAAGCTTGAAGGATATGCTGCTGCAGCACATCTGTTTAGCAGCTTTCCATGCTGGCTTTTGTGTATTGTTGGTGATAGCTATAGGCAGCAATACCTCAACAAAATGCAGAAAGCCAGGTTGTTTGTGACAATGTGACTTACACCTTTCTGCTCCAGACTGGGGGAATGTGGCCTATAACCTCTACAAAATCCATCAAGTGTCAAAACATTAACAGGATAATATTGCAAAGCAATACCCCCAAAAAACAGTGATAGAAATGTAGCCGTGTTAGACTGGTGTAGCTGAAACAAAATACAGGACTATGTAGCACTTTAAAGACTAACAAGATGGTTTATTAGATGATGAGCTTTCGTGGGCCAGACCCATGCCCACGAAAGCTCATCATTTAATAAACCATCTTGTTAGTCTTTAAAGTGCTACATAGTCCTGTATTTTGTCCCAAAAAACAATTATTGTAACAATTCTCTGAAAGATGATGCTTCTGAGACACTGTTTCTAATGTGTTCTTCAATATGGAAATACATCTTGTGGCTAAAGGATTTATCTTTGTACAGAGGTATGTTTTCTCATAAAGGGAGTCTTTGCTTACAGCAGTTTGCAGAGGATGGTTTTTCAACTTTATGATGTTGGATATTTTTGCTGGAAAGCAGATCAGGTGCTGTAAGTGTTAGTAGGCAGACTAAGGTTACTCTGGGGACTGCTCTTCCAAATATCCCTGCAGGTTGCTGCTGAGAGAATGATCAGGGCTCTGCTTTTATCAGGCTCTAATATGATAAGCTCTGGTCATTTTGTAGCTAATTTAAATTTGTCACAGCTATTGTTCTTCAAATATTGTAATATGTTGCCATATATCATTAGTACTGCTTTGTTATTGTAATTACACAGGAGTATAGTAATCACAGAATGGTGTCATCATGGCAGAATATATTGCAGCATTATTACAGCACTGATAGGAAACTGCAGGCATCTTTACTGTGCACTGTGATGCTAACTGTGCATCGGAGGGGAATCTCTGAGCCAGCTCTAAGATGATCTAGAAGTGCCTACTAGATGTGGGCTGAAAGCGGGATACAAGTTTACTGTATGCAGGTCCTCGTGAAAGAGGCTCAGTAGGGCAGCACTGTTTTTTCCTCAGCCCAAAGGCTGGACAAGTGTCACTAGAGGGGCTGCATGCCCACCTTCTGACCTGCTATTAGAGTTAGGTGAAATGAATTCCATTTCTGCCCTCCTCCCTAAGTTAGTACCCTAGCAAATCCGAGTCACTTGGTGTCCCAGTGTGTCTGTAGTAATGAATTTCACCATAAGTAAATAGTACTTAATTAAATTGCTAAATTGACATGTTAGGAACCAGATTGCACCTGGCTGAATGCCCATGAGGGAAATGAAGCACTTCCCCACTATGAAGCACCACTCCCCCTCATATGAATTCTGGGGTCAGGGAAGAGAGCTGGGCTTGGAGCCTGTTACCCTCCTCCCCCCACAATGTAAAACATAGAGGTAGAAAGCGCCAAAAAGCAGGTGGAACCTTTTCTATAGTTTTTCTGAGTAAAGGTGCTGTTTTGGAAAAAGAAGAGCTGCACATCTTGTCTGCTAAAGAGAAACCTTAATTCTCATATTTTTAAAGTATTTTTGTGAAAAGGAATGTGGCCATTAAACCTTCAGCTGTAATCTGAGTTTTTTAGTTTTCTACCTCATTTCTAGTGTAAGATTGTCCCATTTAAAATTACTTCATTAAATAAATATAATAAAAGCCCCAAAGCTTTAATTTACATTGAAATGCTGTCAAAACAAACATCATAGACAATCAGTTTGCCAACTGCAATTCTCCAAAGCACCTCACTCATTAATTTTGCCAGCTAACAATATACTTCAGAATTAGGTTTTCATTTCCCCAGTTGTAAGACTGAAATTGTAATTTTTCATAAACTCTAAAACTAGACAGTGATGTAACTAGCTTAGAACTAGTTTAGCTTTTGCTCTCTTTAATTACATCTTTTGATACAGTTGTTTGATTCCGGTCATATGGCCAATATAATTTTGATCACATACCTAACGTTCCTAATATAAAATAGTTTATTTCTTTATTATTCAACTTTTCTCCTACTGATTAACTAGTTAATTCACCAGCTCTATTCCATTACTCTGGAAGCAACAGGTTGGCTTTGCCTTTATCCCTCTTGGTTCAAAGCTCATAGTTCAACATAGAGGTACTTTTACATATAATATGCACAGCATTAGCTGGTATGTTAAATTTCAGTATAGTTACAGGTCCTGATTCAGAAAAACATGGTTCTATATGAAAGAGGCCTGAGCATGTGCAGAAGTACTTTATTAATAAAAAGATGGATTTAGCAAGCATAGGAGTCTTAAAACTCATAATTAAATAAATATAGGACAAATGTTGCAGCTCCAATAGCCCCATGAATTTTGTTGACCTGTAACTCAAAGCTAATATTGTGTTGTGAATCACCATATGCTTGTCCTTGTAGCACAACATAAACTTTTTGCTTATTATTCAAGTCTACACTATATTCACAGACAAAAACTGTCAGGAAAATAAAGAATTTTTGCTTGAATTTTCAGTAGTAATTTTTAAATTTTCCTTGCTGCTTTTTAGCAGACAAATAAATGTCCAGTAAAGAGAGACTCTAGCAACAAAACTCAGGTTTGGGTCTCATCATTCCCAAACTTCGGGAGTGTTTAGTTCAAGATCATCTTTAGGACTTTAAGAATAGTTGGTCTCTCCCCAAAGACTTTTAAACAGATGCCACTTAATTACTGGAATACTGGATGCCACTTAAATACCTTAAATACCTTTTAGATGTTGATCTTCATCAGACCTCTGAAGAGGTTGGGATTCTGTTTGAACTTTAGGGGAAGGCTTTTGTCATTTCTTATTTTGTCAAACCAAATGACTCATCCCAATTTAAAAATTTATTTTCCAAGAACTTTGCCTTTCCAGTAACAACAACAAAAAATTAATTAAGCCCACTGAAGTCAGTGGAAAGATGCCCATTAACTTTAGTGAACTCTGATTCAGGTTTGTAATTATTAGCTTTAACTATAAAGCCAGTTAAATAGAATATTGTAATTATGTCAACATTAATTTATAGGAATAGCTGACTTAAAATGTTGATATATTTGGCTCTTTAGAAAATAAATCTAAGTACTTGCAACTTGTAAAACAATTTCACAGGACATATAAAACATACATTTTATACATATATAAATATAATGAATAGTTTTATGTATAGACATAAAATAATGTTTAGTTACATGCCTCTTAATTTATCTATTTGCATATTGCCCATTAAAATGTGTGCATTAATGGTTACTTGGATCAAATGCTTAAAGGAAATAAGCTGGAATTAAAGCATAGAAGCTGTTTAGTAATCAGAAATCCCTTAAAATGATCTTATTATCAGCAGTCATGTTATAATAGTAAACCAACAACTTATCTATTAAAAAGATTCATTAATTAAACAAACCCATGTTGTTGTTTTTCTCTATTGTGAGGATGTAGGCAAATCACTTTTTTGTGTATTTGGTTATAAGCTGGTTCTTTGCGTCTATCTTTATTTTTGTGCAGTATATTTGACAATCTTTTTTTTTTTTCCAGGTACATCCATGGGGCACTGCAATTTTGAATTTGATCTTTGTGCTTGGGAGCAAGATCAGAATGACGACTTTGATTGGACTCTCAGAACTGGCAGTATCATGATACCTGGCACTGGACCAATGGCTGATCACACCTTGCAAGGGCCATCTGGTCATTACATCTTCATAAAAAGCTCATTCCCTCAGTTGCCAGAGCAGAAAGCCAAGATTTTCAGTCCCAAGCTGAGCAGAAGGAGCAAAAATTGCAAGGTATGTCCAGGCATAGTACTGGGAGGTATGAGCCTGATTTGTAGAATGCTACAAAATAATAATCACTAATGTGATAGATAATAGATTACGACTGACATGTTTCTGAAAGAAAACTGGATTGTTGTAAAAGTATTACGGTCCTGATCCCAGGTTGACCTTGAAACCAATTACCAAACAAACATATTGTTGCTCATGGTGCAGTTGATTAAAGAAGAAGGACTTCATGACATGAGTACACTGGGCATCTTGGAAGTAGTAAGTAGCAAAAGAAGATATTGTCTATTCAGAGAGTGGCTTAGAAAAGGCGTATTGAACTAATGCACTGAAAGAAAAGCATAGATCTGCTTTAATGGAAAAAATTGAATAAAGAGGTACATTAACAACTGTATACAAGGGAGTGTAACTGCAAATGGAAGAATGCGTGATCAGAAGATTCTGCTCACTCATCTATCAGAAACTGGGGAAGAGTGAAGTTTGATTTATCAAAGTGCTACAGCACATTCTTGAATGTCCTGAAAAGAACCTGCCAGACATTTGGAAAAATGGATTGAAAGGCTTTCTAATTTCAGTGCAGTCTCTGCTTTCTTTGCTAAACTGCTCTTTTGTATCTTATTAACCCAGTGGCTTAAAACAGATACGCTTGTGGCTCCTGCAGTCACAGAACACTTGAAAGGAATTTGTGAAAATTTGGGGAGAAAATGTTATAGTATTACTTGCTCTGTATAAATATTTTTCCCCCACTCATAGGGTGTGTCTTGACTACAGGGTTTTTTCTAAAAAAAACCTTCCCCTGCGTCTAGACTGCTGCTGCGTTCTTTCAAAATTAAATTGAAAGAACGTGGAAGCTTTTTCAACTGCGGTAAACCTGTTACGAGGAAGAACGCCTTTTTTTCCAAAGTGCTCTTTCAAAAAAAAAAAAAAAAGGTGTTCTTGAATGCAAACAGGGCTTTTTTGAAAGAAAGCATCCAGACTGCCAAAAGCAGCTTGCTTTTTTGAAAAGTGGTTGCAATCTAGACACTCTCTCTTTCGAAAGAGGCTTGTGGTCTAGACATAGCCACTGACTCCTCTTTTCCACAGTTCACAAGGTTCAATGGGGTTGATCTGACTGATCTATGTTATTAAAAGCAAGTTAATAAACCTAATTGGTAAGGAATGCATAACAACACATCCACTTACCTATTTAAATAATAAAGCCTACATCTGAATCAAACAATTGTATTTTGTACATTTTCACTAGAAGAAATAAGTTTGTTTACCACTGTCTTTTCTTCATCCTCCTGTATTTAACTGCTGCCTTCCCTCATGCACACCAGCTTGCACACCTAAACATGTATGCTTACAATGATTGGAGGATGGAAGTTTGGAGGCCTTTGTAAGAAATGTTTTTATGGGACACTCAAAGGAGGAGAGAATGGAAATTTGAAGGCAGTCGGGAAGGGGTTGCCAGACATACAGGGTGATGTAGAGTAGTGTTTTTCAAACTTTCTTGTCTCGCAATTCGCTTGAAGAAAATGAGGGGGGTTGAGTGCAGGAGGGGCTCAGGGCTGGGACAGAGGATTGGGGTGCTGGGTTAGGCATGGACTTACCTCCAGCAACTCACAGTCAGCAGAGCAGTGGGAATTCTAGGGCTGGCTACCCACCTGTCCTGGCACCTCACACCATGCCGTGCCCTGGAAGTAGCCAGTTGCAGGTCTGAATCCTAGGCAGAGGTGTGCAAGCAATCAGAGTGTGGGGGCCAGGACTCAGAGGAAGGACAGTGTGTGGAGCTCTATGGTCCCCTACGTAGGAGCTGGACTGCTCCTGATGACTTTTGGTGTGCAGTGAGGTCTGTGGTGCCAGAACAGACAGGAAGCCTGCCTTAGCAACCCCCATTAGTGACCTGATCACACTACAGCCAAGTGACCCAGTGCTTGATATTCCATGACCCAGTACTATGTTGCAACCCGTACTTTGAAAACCACTGATGTAGAAGAAGGACAAGAGAAAATACAGGAGATGAAGGTGTAAAGCTAATTTAGCATCTGGGATTGCATAAAAGCATGGTGAAAGCTAAAAGAAGATGCGAGAAGAGCTAAGACAAGCTAAGACAAGGAATTGAATGAATCTTGAGTTTAAAAATGAGCATCGAATAAATATAATTTCAATTAATAAATACAAGATAGAGTAAATCACTCTTAGCATGTAAATACCCACCCACTATACTAGCAGAAATGTCTGGTTTTTTTTCAATTCATTCACTTTCTTGTACTGCTCAGCAGTTCTTTGCAGTTCTTATTCCAAAACAACACTCCTGCCATCACCTTGAAATATCTCCACTTCTTATTATATGGCTGTAATTCTTAATTCATCCACATACAGGAAACTTGAGCTCCAATGTCTGTCAGCATTTTAACCTGTAAAAGAGGGTGTGTCATCTTTTTATATAGAATTTTGCAGAGATTTGTTGTGTTTTGCTGATTTCACCATTACAACTACTTCATCTTCATTCTATTTCATAAAGAAACAAACCATCACAGGAAGATAACTCTATCAGAAATCTTATGGATGCTGACAAACTTAAATTGCATTTTTAAGGAGTCTGTGACTGGAGCTGATTCTGAGGTCCTCTGAGTGTACAGATGCAGAGCTGCTTTTTGGAATTGAAGCAGTCTGATCCAAACATTTCTAAACAGATTTAGTGACTTTTCAAATGAGACCTCAGATGAAACTTTAACCCCTTATCCATTCAGGAAAAAAAAGCAAGTGCAATAATGATTTGAAGAGCTCACTTTTAATCATTTTGGTTGATGTTGCTATTTTTCAGGAAATGATTTTATTATACAAATATAACATGAGTAAATTGTCAATAGAGGAAAAAAAATAACTAATCCCTTAACTTGGAAATTCTGGGCCTCCATATTTGAAAATTTCTCTAAATCTTTTTTCTTAGGCCCTCAGAATCATAGTCTCTCTCCTTTGAACATGTATGTGTGGGCAATCACATCTGCTTTGAAGAAATATAAAATAACTAATGATGAAACATCCATTGTATGAATATTGCTTTCTAGTATCAGAGGGGTAGCCGTGTTAGTCTGAATCTGCAAAAGCGACGAGGAGTCCTGTGGCACCTTATAGACTAACTGAAGTGTAGGAGCATAAGCTTTCGTGGGCAAAGACCCACTTCGTCAGATGCATGTAGTGGAAATTTCCAGAGGCAGGAATAAATATGCAGGCCAGGATCAGGCTGGAGATGACCAGGTGGATCCAATCAAGGAGGATGAGGCCCACTTCTAGCAGCTGATCTGGAGGTGTGAATTCCAAGAGAATAGAAGCTGCTTTTGTAGTTAGCAAGCCATTCACAGTCTTTGTTTAATCCAGAGTTGATTGTGTCAAACTTAAAGATGAACTGTAGCTCAGCAGTTTCTCTTTGAAGTCTGGTCCTGAAGTTTTTTTGCTGCAGGATAGCTACTTTTAGATCTGCAATTGTGTGTCCAGGAAGATTGAAGTGTTCCCCTACAGGTTTTTGTATGTTGCCATTCCTAATATCAGATTTGTGTCCATTGATTCTTTTACGTAGGGACTGTCCTGTTTGGCCGATGTATATAGCAGTGGGGCATTGTTGGCACATGATGGCATATATTACGTTGGTGGATGTGCAGGAGAATGTACCAGTGACAGTATGGCTGATCTGGTTAGGTCCTGTGATGGTGTTGCTGGTGTATATATGTGGGCAGAGTTGGCACCGAGGTTTGTTGCAAGGATTGGTTCCTGAGTTCGAGTTATTATGGTGCGGTGTGTAGTTGCTGGTGAGAATATGCTTCAGGTTGGCGGGTTGTCTGTGGGCAAGGACCGGCCTACCTCCCAAGGCCTGTGAGAGCGAGGGATCATTGTCCAGGATGGGCTGAAGATCACTAATGATGCGTTGGAGAGGTTTTAGCTGGGGACTATAGGTGATGGCCAGTGGTGTTCTGTTGGTTTCTTTCTTGGGCTTGTCCCGTAGCAGGAGGCTTCTGGGTACACGTCTGGCTCTGTCAATCTGTCTCCTCACTTCCTCGTGTGGGTATCGCAGTTTACAGAATGCTTGTTGAAGGTCTTGTAGGTGTAGGTCTCTGTCTGAGGGGTTGGAGCATATGCGGTTGTACCTCAGTTTCTATTGTATCTTAAATGCCATAAAAAAAGGATGAGGGTCATAGCTGGCAAAAATTAGCTTTTTTCATGTATGAATGTGTTTATCAAGTATGTAGATTTGGCTTAAATCAGAAGACTTTTTTTTTTATTCTGAAACAATCAAAGCCAGGTTTATGGCACTTTTCAAGCACTTTGAACATCTCTGTAATTTTGAAGTTTCCTTTTATGTAGTTCTTCAAGAGAATTCAGGTTTGAATCATACTGGCATGCACATATGGCTGGCTTGCATTGTAAATTGTAGCCAACTGTATTTTGATGCTCAGAATTGCTGGTGACCATCAGTGATTGAGACACAAAGTAGACATGAAACCAAATAAAAATATGATGACATAAGGATGACAAAGCTTGTTTTCACAGAAAACATTGATAGCTAGGTGGGATCAGGAGGGTTTTCGCAATTCATTACAAATGTATTAGAGTGGAAATGGGAAAACCATCTTCAGTTCTTGACACCACCAGATAAAGATTACAATCTCCATTGACCAGTGTACTCCTCGGATATAGGAAATCTTACGTTCCCCAAAAACTGCCTGTTTCAAGGCCCAGGCCTGCACCAGGTAGACACGTTTTCTTGTTTCTTAGAATGAGCATGAGTCTAAATTCCTTGGAATCAATTGTGAGGCTACTTAAGAATATACACTGGATCCATATGGCCACACAGGAGTCAATATCAAAACTTTCATTGACTTCAACACACCCGTAAACAACTAAACATAAAAGGGAAACAGAAGGCAAGGGAAAAAAGTCACCTGGTTAAAAGGCAAGGTAAATGCAAGCCAAAACAGTATCCTTCAAAAAGTGGAAAGCCAGTAGAAGTGATAAAAATAGAAAGGAACACAACTATGGAAGGTATAATGTGTAGTCTGTTGTTAAAATCTGTTGTTCTGCCAGAAAACTGAATAATAAGAGTTAAGTGTACATTTTATCAAGTGCCAAGGTGATCCCATAAATTATAGATCAGCAAGCAAGTCTTGCTTGTTTTCCACAAAATGAGTTGTAAATATAGAACTCGTAATTTATTTAATTTTCAAGAAGTCTTTGATAAATCTATCACAAGAGGTTGTTAAGGAGTCTAAGTAGTCATGAATTGAAAGCTAAGGTTCTGTCAGGGACTAGAATCTGGTTGAAAGAGAACCAAGTACAAGACTAAATATTCAACGGGCATTGACAACACCTGCCATTCACTGTGGTGCTTCCTTGTACTTTCTCTACTGTTACCCTACTTGAGCACTATCATTATGTTTAATATTCTGTTTTTCCCTCTCTCTCTCTCTCTCTCTTCACTTATAACTCCTCCTTCTATTTTCCCTACTGTGTCTTTTATATAGGCTCACTTTGAAATAATCCTCATTTAGGAAAGATCTCTATGCAGGTGAGACACTTCAGAGTCCATGCGTCATACTTGAGTTATTAAAGATACTCCACTTATGCTAAAGGACATTGTTTATGCATTGTTCCCTGCCTCTGCTTTGTCATCAGTTTTCACAGTTTTACGTTTAAATGGGAAATTTGCTCAGAAGAAGGCAATCAGCATTTAGCAGCTCTATAAGCACTGAAATGTTGGTTTCCAAAATAGCTTCCATTAGTTTACTGAAGAATAGTACTATAGATTACTGCTAATGAGATATTTTTCCTTGTGTTTAATTAAAACACTAGGTAAGGAATGATTCAGCAGTTTTGACTCTCTTCTGAGAATTAAGGATGCTTCTGAGTGAAAATTTGGGGTAATTGTAATGACAGAGGATATTTAATGTTCCCTAGTGGGTATTGAATGCCATTACTCTTGGTTGCAGATATTATTTTATTACCATATGCATGGGGTCAGCATTGGATCATTAACCATCTATCAGGTGACAGCATCAAATCAAGAAAAGGTCCTTTTCAATTTAACTGGAAACCAGGGAAACTTCTGGCAGAGAAAACAATTGCTCCTGGATGAGGATGAGGACTTCCAGATCACCTTTGAAGGGCAAGTTGGGAAAGGTTACAGAGGTGATATAGCACTTGATGACATCACATTTACCAAGGAATGTTTGCCTTCACCTGATGCCTTCTCAGCAGAATCCACAGCACTACCTCCAACAGGTACGTTCCTATTAAATAGACTCAACAATTTCACAGCATCAGATTCTGAAAAGGGGAGCAAACACACCTTGCTTTGATTTTTCTGTTGCTTGTTTTTTTTTTTTTTAATGGCCAGAAAGGAATATAATTTGAAGTAGCTTTTTGGTATGTTGACCAATCTATTTCATAAAAATGCTGATTGGAGGAGATCTCACCTTGAGCAGGACAAACTCACAGGAGTGGTCCCATTTAAGTCAGTAGGGCTATTAATGTGTAAAATCAAGTGCAAAGGGGTGAAGAGTGAAAGGAACTTGCTTTTCTAAAGCCCATGTACAAAGACTGAGTAGAATCCCACTGGGGAGTAGAGACACTCCTCCCTGCTTACCTCTCTGGATGCAAGAGGTACATGAGTGATAAAAGGTAGAGTACACACACACAAAATCCTCCCTCCACATTTTCCAGAAGAACTGTTGCAAAAGCTATAGAACTGCTACTCCAACATGTGCTGCCACTGTAATTAGAGTGCCACCAATCAACACACAACTTGCAGCATAAGATGAAATGTAAGTCACAAGCTAACCCTTAATTTCCACTGATTTTTATTCTGAGCAATTCATAGTAAGTCAGGAGGAGCTCTTCCTCTCTGTTAGCTTTTGGCAGCTAAGCTCTCAGATACAAACTATGAATATGCAGCTCTCATTGAAATCACTGGGATTACTGCCATGGCTTGAGGGCAGTATAAAACTCTCAGGATTTTGTATTTTGGGAAGGGGAGGCATTTACAATGGGTTTCCATTGAACTGGGAGTCTGTTATTTTCTTAAATCTGTTTTCAGAAAGCCTTGTTGAAACAGTGAATTGGGTACAATAAGCTGTAATTTTTATTTTATTGATCTTTGTTTCACATTTATTCTTTCTATAAGCATAGTATTTACTGTCAAATTACATAACTACTTCAAAATTATGACAAATACAGTCTAAAGCAGGCTAGGCTTTTCTGTGGTAGGAAATCTGGTTTTTTTCCCCCTAGAGAATTCTATTTTTCTAATGGTTGATGGTTTGGATTCACTTTCCTCTTTCTCCTCTTTGGGGTGGGAAAAGATTTTTCTTTCTAAAAAGCCCTGTCATTCTGATCTTCTGAATAATAGACATTCTGGCCGTGGTCAGAATTCCCTAGATTAAAGAAAATGTTAAAAAATCCTGTTTTGTGGAGACCAGTTGGTTTCAATGAAGTTTTCATCACAGTTTGGGAGGAGACAGGAACCTGACGGCATTGTCCTGAGTCACCGCAGACCTTTTCATCCTATATCACTCTGGGGGCATCTACACAGCAGTGTTATTTCGAAATAACAGCCATTATTGCATAATAATGCAAGCATCTGCAAAGCAATTCCATTATTTCAAAATTAAATTTGAAATTATGGATGGCTTATTTTGAAATCTGTAAACCTCACTGTATGAGGAGTAATGCCCCTTTTGAAATAGCTATTTCAAAATAGCAGTAGTGTGGACGTTCCACTGCTGCTATTTTGAAATAGCTCCTCCCCAGAGTCATTGAAAGTAATTACTCCCAGTGCTTCCTGGGGCTCTAAATCAAGAGAGCACGTCCACATTAGGGGAACCTGCCTCAGACTAGTTTTGAGGCTTCCCTGTAGTATGGACGTGCTATTTCGAAATAAGCTCTTTCAAAAAAATTCAAAATAGCTTATTTCAAAATAAGCATGCTGTGTAGCCTTACCCTCTGAGTCAGAGGCTAGATCTACACAGGAAAGCTTTGGCAATAATGCTGGCAACATGGAAAAGTCACCAGAAATAAAGTCACCAAATCACACTTACACTGCCCCTGTCTGTCAATATATCATGGCCACATTGTTATCTCCTGCGTCGACAGAAAAAGCAAAGCAATGTGGGTATGCATCCCACAGAGCCTGGTGTCAGCTTCAATCACCATGCAATGTGGGAATGCGCAATGTAGCATAAGGCATTTTGGGAATGTGAAAAACATCCCATCTGCTCTTTACTACAGAGTTATCCTGAAGTTTATGGCTTACTATCACACCATTTGAAACTTACCGTCCTCGCTGCACACTCCAGCATCTGCTGTGAGAAATCATGGATCCCAGACTTCTTTCTTATGTTGTGTTCAGTGTGTTTAGGACACATTGGGATCACATTGTCAAGCAGGTGTGGGTTGAAGAGCAGTGGCTACAGAATTTTAGGATGCGTAAAGCAACTTTCCTAGACCTATGTGCTGAGCTGGCCTTTGAACTGTGATGCAAGGACACCCGAATGAAAGCTGCTTTCTCACTAGAAAGGCATGTTGTGATTGCTTTGTGGAAGCTGGCAATGCTTGTTTGCTACCCTTCAGTTGCAAATGAATTTGAAGTGGGGAAGTCTACTATTGGGACAGTACTTGTGCAATTGTGCAGGGCAATAAATCACATTTTGCTGTGTAGGACAGTGACTCTGGGGAATGTGGATGACATAGTGGCTGGCTTTACTGAAATGGGCTTTCCAAACTATAGCGGGGCAATCGATGGCACACATATTCCCATTGTAGTGCCACCCCACCTTGCCACAAAGCACATCAATTGGAAGGGGTATTTCTTGATGGTGGTTTAGGTGCTTATAGATCACCATGGTCATTTCACAGACATGAATGCAGGGTCGTTTGAATATAAGAATGGCCATACTGGGTCTGACCAACGGTCCATCCAGCCCAATATCCTGTCTGCCGACAAGTGGGCAATACCAGATGCCCCAGAGAGAGGGGACACAACAGGTAATTGTCATCCATTTCCAGACACATGATTTGGAAAGATTCATGATGCATGCATCTTCAAGAACAGTGGCTTGAACAGGAAGCTGTAGAGAGGGACTTCCTTTCCAGACCACAAAATTATAATGGGGCATGTGGAAATGCCCACAGTGATCCTCAGTGATGTGGCTTACCTGTTACAGCCCTGGCTCATGAAGCCTTATGCAGAGCACCTGGATAGCAGTAAGGGGCAGTTCAGCTACAGACTAAGCCAATGCCCCATGTTTGTTGAATGTGCCTTTGGAAGATTGAAAGGGAGATGGAGGTGTCTTTATGACAGGCTGGACCTTATGGAGGATCATATCTCCATGGTGGTGGCTACATGCTATTGCTTACATAATTTGTGTGAGAGTAGGGATGTAGCTTTTGCCCATAGGTGGAGCACTGAGACACAGCACCTGGACACACTGTTCGAACAGCCAGAAACACATGCTGTCATAGGAGCCCATAGGGCAGCCATAGGTAGCAAGGAGGCTCCAAGGAACCAGTTTGAAAATGCAGGAACAAGAAAGTAGAGTCCTCGCTTGTGCAGCAGGTGTACATGGAAATAATTTGCAATAATCCTCTACTTGTCCACAGGCTGCAGTAACACTGGTTGATGAAGGTTAACAGGGCTCTGCTTCTGGATGTGAGCACGGGGTCCCTCGCTCCTTATGCAGCTCAACTCTGTGCCACATTGGTTCCAGCAGCACAGATAGAGGAATGGTTTGGAGAGTGTCATACCACGGGGCTGGGGAAATGGCAGCCCTGACAGAGACTCTCCATGAGAAAGTTAATTAGCATTTCACAAAATGTGTTGACACTATCGTCCTGCAAAATTCTGTTGATATGTCTGTGCATCAATGCCTTGTTTGGATATAATGCCGAACCAGGCAGGGCATAGCGAGCTCACAGAAACAAAGCCTCTGGGTGCTCCACGTAAAATCTCCTTCCTCCCACATTTCAGAAAAGCAAGTTATTCTGCATCTCTTCCCTTGTTTCATACTCCACATCCAGCTGCTAAGACTCAACTTGAGCCTCAAGACATGAGAACAGTTCTTCACTGCCTACCGCACTAGGTGACTCCATAATGAGTCCCACCTCCTCATCTGCTTCTGCCTCTTCATCATGATCTTTTCCCTCCAGGTTAAGTCCTGTTTCTTCTGACTCTATGCTGTCTGAAGTATGCACAGTGTACTTGCCTGCAGATGTGGGGTCCCCACCGAGGATTTCATCCAGTTTTTTATAAAAATGTCATGTGTTAGGTACAGCACCAGAGCAGCAATTTGTCTTATTGACTTTCTAGTGCACCTGCTGGAGTTCCTTTGTCTTGATTCTGCATTGCAGAGTGTCTTGCTCATACTTCTTTTCACAAAGGGCTCAAGAAATGTTGTCGTACATGTCCCAGTTCCTGTGCATCACTCAGAGCTGTGATAGCACTGATTCTTCACCCTACATACTGATAAGATGCTAAAGTTCTGGGGTGCTCCAAGCAGGAGCAACATCAACAAAAAGCTAACTAGAATAAAAGATGTAAAATATTGTTTTTATGAACTGGATTGGACCATTATTAACAATTCAGAAAATTATTTGTCTATTTTTGTGAGAGTACTGTATTGTTTACTCACACAATTATTTTGAAAATTGCAGATGTCACATCCATACAATTCCCTTTCTATCCCTGTACGGTGAGAAAGAACTGGTCAAAATTCAACATGTTGATTTTGCATCTACTCCACTTGACTGCTGACAAGGAAAGGGAATGACACCATTGTCCCTTGTTTAAAGGCCCATCCTAATTGTTATTCAACTTGGAAGATTCTACTGCCCTTGCCAGGTTGTTTGGGGAGCTGACTCTTCCTCCTCTTCCTCCCCACCAGTACCACTTCTGAGTGATCCCAGTAGTCACTCCTGGTGGTAGCAGGCAGGAAAAGAGAAATTGGGGAAAGAGAAATTGGGTATTATGATAAAGTTAACAGAGTGGAATTTTGAGGGGTGACCTTTCCTGGCTCTACTTTAGTCTTTCTATGTGTGTACTTTAACAATTCACTTAGTCTCTCTTGTTTTTATTCCCAAACAAGAAAATGGAGGTATCCATTAAGGAGTGCATTAATTTTTATGAGGTGCATATATTATGCTGATCCATAGAAAAGCTTATAGAAATACAGATAAACTCGGTTTTCTTCTTCAGAATTTCATTTACTGCACTTTAAGCATTGAGTCAA